ATATAGCCATGATATGGTTTACAAGAAATTGCCTTAAACAAAAAAAAATTAAAAAAAAGCCCGGAAATAAAAAGCCCGTTAGGCCCGCTAAGCCCACGAGTCCGGCCCGTTTAGCCCAGGACCATATGGGCTTAGGCCCGTCACGGGCTGGTTCCACCCGTTGAGCCCACGAAGCCCGGGACCGTGAGGCCCGAGACAGCCAAAGCCCAGGCCCGCTAAGCCCAAGCCCGTTAAGTCCGACCCGTTTGGCCCATTTAGGCCCGGGCCCGACCCAGAATATAGCATTAGCGGAGATCTCCTTTGCCCGGGTGTTAGCGGTTTCAGCGTCAGCTTGGTATGAAGACATAAATGCCTCTGCATCAGATTTGGCCTTTGCAAGCTCAGTAGCAGATTTAGCTTCGAGCTCCTCGATTTTGCGGCTTCGAGCCAAGCTTTCCTCCTTTACACTTTGAAGCTAGGGCTCAATTGAAGCCAACTGCTCCCGAAGAGTATCTTTCTCTGAGGCGAGACGGCCCATGCCTTGTTTCCACCCTATGGTCTCGGCCTCCTTCATCTTGAGCTCTCTCGGAGCTGCTCCACCAGCTCACCTTTTTGTTAAGTCTGCAAAGTTGAAGTGTTAGTCGATCGATCGAGCAAATGCATAACAAAACTTCAAATGGTATATTACCTTTTTGATAAGCTCGGTTGTTCTTGATGAGCATTCGCCAGTTCGGCTCGAAGATCGCTGATCTCCCCCTCCTTTTTGACATAGAGGATCTTAAGGCCATCCCTCACTTCCGAGAGCTTCTTAAGCTCAGCCTCATATCGAGCAAGCTCAGCTCGAGACCTGGAAAACGCTTCTCGATGGAGCGTCACAACCCTCACAAAAAGGAAAAGTCAGACTCAGAACAACAAGGATAAAATGCAGGCGTAATCTTAAGGGCAGAAACTTACTTATTTGAAGAGCCGCTAGGCCTCATCAAAAATAAAAGAAGCATCTAGATCGGGACCATCTTTGATCCATGCAAGGCACTCTCTAAAGATATCGTGCCCTTTGTGGCTCGTCCCCACATCGGGAGTTCTCATGTTCCGGTCATCTCGGAATTTCCCCTCGGAGAACTTAGGACCATGCGGCGATTCATCCACGTTAATTACCCCAAGTGATCCACTTGGGGCATTCTCTTCTCTTTGAAGGGCCTCGGGACCGGGCCCCTCGGTCTCACCCTCCAAATGACCTCCAAGATGAGGTGTTCTTTTGCTGCCCGATGGCTCGGGGACTTTGCTCGAACTCCCCTCAGAGATTTCTTCAGTCCTAGAATGAACCGCATCAGCCACCATTAGTTTGGCAGACTTCGAAGCGTCAGTGCTTCCTCTTTTTCAAACTACCAATAGGCACTCGTCATCTTTCCCCTCTTCATCCTCATCTTGAAGGCGTTGGACCGTTTCTAGAGATAGGGCCACAGTATCGCCCTTAGGCTTTCGAGCCTTGCTTTTCTTTGGCCTCGGGGAATTTGCAGGTGACCCCCTGTTTCTTTTCTTTTCTTTGGAAGGCTTTGTGATCTCTTCTTCACTGGGCGGGGTCGACATCTCTGAGGCCTGCATAAAGACAAAGTAAGTATTTCACTGAGAAACACAAGTTTGCAAACAAGAGAACTCACCATGGTTTTTAGCCTCCCATTGACCTTTGGCCAGGTCACACCAGTTGTTATCCGCGTACGAAGAAGTAGAGGCCAGTTTCCGGACCCAACCTTCGAGGTCTGGGACCGCACCAGAAAACTAAGCAACAGCTACCATCGGAAAGGGGTTAGATCGAGAAAAAGATGAGGTCGAGAAAGAGAAGGAAAAGCAGGGTATAAAGGCATCATTGATAAGCATGTACTTACGTTTCATGTTCCATTCCTCGGGGAATGGCATCCTCTCAATAGGAATTAGGTCGGAGGTCCTGACTCGGACAAACTGACCCATCCATCCTCGGTCCTTGTCCTCATCGATGTTGGATAAGAGAGATTTCGAGGATCAGCATTGTAGTTTGATCAAGCCACCTCGATAAAGGCGAGGGCTGTATAGTCTGATCAGATAGTCGAGGGTAAAAGGCATCCCTTCGACCTGGCTCGAGAAGTATCTGATTAGATTGACGATTCGCTAAAATGAAGGGTAGATCTGGCCAAACGTCACTTGGAATTGTTGGCAAAAATCAAGAATAACTGGATCTATGGGACCTAGAGCTGTATCTGCAGGACTCAGCGTAAATGGGTAGATATACACGCATAAGTACCCTACTTTATGAGTGGTGATGTCCTCCTTAGGGGAAGGGATCACTACATCTTTGTTCTCCCAGTTGTAGTCCTTTTTCACCTGCTCGAGCTCATCTTCAGTTATCAAACAGATGTATTGGGATATGGGCTCGCATCGGCATGGTGTCGATGCAGGTTTATCGATTTTGAAATCGGATGTTAATTCACACGGCGGGGAATACACTCCTTGATACGAGGTGGCACCACCGTTTTACTTCTGGCCGGTCGCGATGATGAAGAGGCTTTTTCTTTTTGGGGAAGAGAAAGTTGATGATGAAGTAAGAACAAATTGAGAGAAGGGTGAACTCAGAGAAGTTGAAGGAGCTAATGAGATTTTGAGAACGATTTGAGAAGTAAAGTTTGCAAAATTGTAAAATTGGCCTATTTATAGAGGTCGTTTAAGCGTATTGGGGAAGCCAAATAGCCGACCGTCAGTCGCCTCCAATTAATGACTTTGGAAAATGCACGATAGTGACCTTTCAGTCACTTCAGCCGCTGATATCACGAGATTGACATCAGGATCAAGGTGGCAGAGCATCGAAGATCAAATCGTTTCTTATCGACCTACTCTAAGAAACACGGGGACTATCTATATACGGTCAAAATCATATGCCTCCGATCTATAGTTACGAGAGGTCGCATCGAACGCCTAAGTTCTCGAGGGACATCGGAGCCAAGCTCAGGCTCGAAGGTAGAATAAGAGGCTCGAAGACCTAAGTGCTCAAGGAACATCAGAGTTGAGTACGACCAACTCCGAGACAGTGTCGTTACGAGTTTGTTACAGAAGGACAAGATTCTCGCCACGTCCCCAAGATCATGGCGTAAATTTCAAAATTGATTTGTACGAATTAGTACAAATCCGTACTAGGCGGTTATACAACTGTCCCAGTAAGATTCTTTACTGTAAATGAGAATGTACCTTATTTATGGTTTCCCCTATTATATAAAGAGGACCCTAATCATTTGTAAGAGACATCTAATCACTGACAAAGAATATACTATCTTACTTTTCCCACTCATTGCTCATCAGAATTGTCCTTTAGCTGTATTGTTCTTACCTTACTACTTTTAACCCATCTCGAGGTCACTTGGCTCGAGGTCGATATTGCTTAAGTAACACTGATTTGATTCACTCATTTCTTTCGTTTATACTTTATACTTCTTGATTATTAATTGGTATTGAACTAAATTGCATATCTTTACAACCACAAATCAAGTTTAATTGTTATTCGTATTTTCGAGGTAAACAATATCTTTATTTTTTTTTTGATAATCCATTCTTGTAGAATTGATATGACATGTTAAAATTTGAGAAATTCTAAAAGTACTTCTAATATGACACATATAATATATATATATATATATATATATATATACATTTTATCTTATGTAGTAACTTTTTTTTTATTTCTTAAATTTTATGTTAGTCAAATATGGTCATGTTAAATGTAATTGAAGGTGCAGTCCGTCGTCCCAGCAAATTGTTCCTTTACCGCTGTTGGAAAGGAGTACTTTTTACTCGACCAGAAGGAAATTGAAGGTGCAGTTTCTTTTTTAAATCAAAATTCTCTCTTCATTATCCATCAGCAATCCATCAACCAGTGAAGGTATCTTCTTCCTTGCTTCCATTTTATGAAAAAATGTGCTTAGATTTCTGAAATCAGTGAGGTCTTCTCAATTGGTCATTTGATTTTGAAACGATAGCTGTGAAATTACGAAATTTCGATGTGGGTTTTGTGGTAGGGTATTAGCAGAAGATGCAATTCTTCGGAGGATCAGAGATCAGCCCGTCGCCGCCACAGCCGACCGTATCCGGGAATAATGCCCATATGCTGTATGTATTCAATAGGAATGGGGTGTGTCTTCTTTACAGGGAATGGAATCGCCCTCTTAAGACCTTAAACCCTCAGCAGGACCATAAGCTTATGTTTGGTTTGCTCTTCTCCCTCAAATCTCTAACTGCCAAGATGGATCCTACAAGGTTTCATTTTCTACTTTTCCTTAAACTTATCGCTCAATTGGATTAGTTTGATCTAATAATTGTATTTAATATTCGAATGAAATGGGTCATAATTAAGCAAAAATGATATAGAGGATTTATATAGCTGATCCAACTAGTTTGAGACTTGATTGAATTGTTTTGATCAAAACCTTATTCTTCCCCATCCCAACCCCAAGCTCCTAGGACACCGTTGTCATGTAACACGTTCTATTTTAAAGGCATAATGATACTGTCAAAATATAGTCTTTTCTCATTTCAAATATTTTCTTGGGCAGTGCTGACAAAGGCAATCTTGGGGTGCCACAATTACCTGGACAAGGATGTTCATTTCACAGCTTTCGTACTAATACCTATAAACTCAGTTTCATGGAAAGTCCATCGGGAATAAAGGTCAGTTAGTGATCCATTGAGCTGTACTTTTTAATCAGTTCAGTTGAAATTGTTCTAGGTCTTATCATACAATGATCATCAGCTTTCTGTCTGGAGTACTGTGATACAATTGTTCATATGATATTAACTAATGGAAACTCTTAATCTACGCTTTTATATTAGTCTCTATAGTTATTTTCTGATGATGTCTAACTATATTAGACATTGCTCTGTCCTGGTGCCATATTCTATTTTAGCCAACTTACTTATTGTTGCTGTAAATGCTGTAATTCAAGGGCTAGTGGGCAGTTCATAGTGTGCTGTTGTAGAGAAGTTACTAAATTTTGGTTCTGTTATGAGGTTACATTCTGATTGTGTTATACATGTAAGCCTTATCTTACTAGGTGGGGGGAAAAGATGGGTAGTTTGGATACATTCAGTTAAAATAACTGAAGGAAAAGAACACGTAATGTTGCTACATGTCTAATGTCTACTCCAAGTGATTCATGGATGGTAATAGGAAAGGAAATGTGCAGAGTTCTGTAAAGGAAATATCAAATTGAGAAAAGGAGAAAAGCTTTACCTATTAAAAGACTTTTAGGTAGACATCCAATAACAACATGAAGCTATTTGTGTTGCTCGCATGACTTAGCATGACCGAATTGAAAAGAGGTCTTTGATGAGAAAAGGTATATATTTTGCAGCTGCTTTCTTATTGAATGAAGGAGGTTGCATGATTTTGAGCTCTGTTTCTTTGATGAGAACATTTGTTTGGCTACACACATGCAAGCAGCCATCACTAGCCACCATATGGCCTAATCTTTGCAGTTTTACTTTCTTCATGCGGAACTACATTTTATCCACCTTATTCTCTAGAAGACAAGTCGGAAGCTCCTTCTGTAATGTTCAAATAAACTTGTTCTGTTAAGGTCGACATGCTTCTATAACTGTATTTCATCTCTCAATCAGTATGTAGATATACTGAAGCTGCATCAGGGATTTTTGGTGTGTGTGCTTTGAAGGAACTGAAGATTTACCATGTAGGTAAAATATTGAATCAGCTGACTTGAGTCTGCTAATCCATATGTTGACTTTGATCTTACTTCTTCAAGAAGAAGGAAAAGAATGACCCTATTCAGATGTCAAGTTACTTGTTGTGGAATGTAAATTTGACATAATTACTTTGTCCTTTGCACCATGTAGTATCATTGGTATGATCGTAAGTGGTACTTGCTTTTGGTCATAGTTTTAACTTCTTCCCATATAGATTTCTTCTCATTTGTATGAGGTATGAATGTAGCTTTAATTACTCCGCCTGAAAGAGTAACTAGGGCTCTCTGAATTCTTCCAGCTCAACTTGCCATGATGCAAACATTTCTATTCATAGTATTTGAGGTCTCAGATGGTGTACTCTTGGAAGAAATGGCTGCTTCCTTTTCCTTTTTTTTTTTCAATAACAAAGACCTGCTTCATTCCATTTGGAGATTGAAGAAATTAGAGAGTAATTTGCTGAAAAGCTTGATCAGGAATTTACCATGATAAGAAAATGGATCTTGGGCTTAACTAAAACCCAAAAACTAGCTTATGAGTGAGGATTGCCCAAGGCCATATAACAAGACCAAGTCCCCCATCCACTACGAATCTAACACCCCGCATGCCCAGGTCTACCAATTGGAGCGTGGACAATATAACATGGGGGCTCCTCATTAAACCAAGAATTGGGAAGGTTCTGGCTGTGATACCATGAGGAAATTAGAGAGTACTTTGCTGAAAAGCTTGATCATTCCCTCAAGCTTGATTGGGAATTTATACCAATTACAATGTATTACATTTTTGGTAAGTGTATAATTACAGAATATACTCCAAATTGAATTCCTGTGTAATGCAAACCCTAGGACATCTCAACAGAGATAACACGAGGATCAACGATCCTGATGTGAGGCACTGTTATCTATGTAGGCATGTCAGGGTACTTGAAGGGTGGGAGCTTTATCTACTAAAGAATGTCATATTACAAATATTGTCCTATGTGTGAAGAGTGAAGCCATGTCTTGCTAATTATTTTACATTAATTGTTACAAAAGAACATACCTTATAACCGTATACGACTATATACTCTTTGGTTCCTTTCTTCTCTTCTTCAATAGGAGACAAACACATTATGTTTTATTCAACTTCACAAGCATTCAGTACGTGTCTGAATTTCTTTTGGTCGGTGAAAGCGAAACAGTAGGAAAAATTAGAGGTAAATATTCAGTACGTTTCTGAATTATGTTGCATTTCTGCAGATCATTCTTGTCACGCATCCTAGGACTGGTGATCTAAGGGAATCTTTGAAGTACATTTACAACTTGTATGTTGAATATGTGGTGAAGAATCCACTCTATTCCCCAGGAGCTCCTATTAAGTGAGTCCTTAAGTCCTACAATTTAAGCTTATCGATGATGTGCAGGATTGTTTGTCTTACATACTGCTAAAATATGTTATTATTGCTATAATTTGTGCTGCTAAGGATTGTCAACATTTGATTAAAGTTGGTTTGTTTCCGTAGTATTATAACGTGGTTCCACGGTTCCACCTAGCCATGTTATTTGAAAAAAGAAGTCCTTGAAGAATAACGTGATGTTGGAAGATCATGGTTCTTTTCTTGTTAAATAGAAAAGTCATACTGAGCTGATTTGGAACGAGGCATTCTGCTTCTTGATCAATCTGAGTATTGCCTGCTAAAATGATGAAGAAGTATCTAATAGAGGGATGTCATGATTAATACATCTTTGGTGGTGATTTCGAATTCAAAAGAAATAAAGAAACTTGAGAACTTGCCAGGATATCTTCTTGTTTGGTTCTTGAAAATTGTTTTTGAAGCATTTCATTTTAAAAGTTTATGAAGTCTCTTCAAGACAATAAAAATTGTGATATTGCGATGTTCTATGGTGTTGAATGGCTCGAACTTTTTGGATCTTTTCCTTTTCTCCCTCAGAAGTTTTCCTCAGAGTTTTGAACTTAATACATTACCTGCTTTATATTTTAGGCACCTTCTGTGCAAATAATTAGTATGTCTTTGATCTTGATTAGCATTCACTTGGATGTGCATAATTCGCGTGTATGCTTGAAGAAGCATTTGCGTTAAATGCTTTCTTACATTTTAGGATTATATGGGTTCTTCTTGAAAGAAAGAATGCAGTCTCTTTTTCCCGGTGAAATTTTCATTGAGCAGATACATTGTCGCTGTTTATGTAGGTGTGAGCTATTTAATTCTACGCTCGATCAGTATGTTAGAGGTCTTGGATAATATCTCAAGGTACAATTCCCATGTTCAGTATCCATAACTTGTTAAACTTAATTACTTTATCAACTAAAATAAAGTATATAGAAGTTAGTGCTACATTTTTACTGCTTTTAAGCATTCGATAATCTGATATTTCCAACGTGGATTACAATACTTTCAGCATCAATTGTATGCAAGCATCTCATTCCGCAGTTGGCTTAGTGATTCCTTACTATGATGGAAGATTGGTTCAACAATATCTCGAAACTTGCAGCACCAACTTTGGATAAGCGATGCGCCAATTGTGTTTGCCTGATCACTGTATGATCTCATTTTGTTACTTTTTCTTTCACTTTGCTAAATGTGGTGAAGCAATAATACTTGAATTAGGTCGGGATTACATTCTTTACTTGCAGCTTATCCTTTGAACTTTACGTGGTATGTATACACTAGCACAATGAAGACTGGTAAAATACTCCTTTTACAAGTTTAAGGTACTTCACGATGAATGTGAATTGTGCTTGCTTTTAAATATTGGACCTGTACAGGTACGCCTTCCAGATTTGACTGACAAGTAACAGAGCATACTAGGGCAGTGAAAGCTAAAAGTACTTTTCCAGAAAAATCCATAGTGTGATTTCATAACCCTAGTGTTAGATCTACTATACTTTCAATTTGTTTGGTCCTGCTTTTCCTGGACAGGCGGTAACAAGTAAAGATCTATTTCCTTTTTTATCAGTGAGCTGTTAGAATTGTTGGAGAAAATTCAGCAAGTAGGAAAAGATATGCCACATGAGTTACGAAGCGAACTGTCTTGAAATTCTCTAAAATTGGGGTGTTCTTTTCTAAATGACGCTTTCGAAATGTACAAATGAACACAAGTGGTGATCAGGTAAAACGGTAACGTTATAATTGGACCAAAAAAGCAAGGGCAAAATAGACAGACAACAAATGATGCTGCTTTAAATTTTGTACTAGAGCAAGCAGTCTAATCCACCTTTCTCTCTCCTTGAACATTGTACGTAGTTGAAAAGGATTTCACTTATATACACTACAAGACTATATTTTAGCTTGTTAGAGCAGATTGTTACTCCAATATTTTCCAGGTTATTATATCAGACTTGTTATGATTAATTACCTATTGTTAAATTTAACATTACGGCATAGAATAACTACATTGTCCATTGCACTGTAGTTACACAATTTAAAAAAAAAAAAAAAGTTAAAAACATGAAACTGTATTTTCGTTTATCTATATAAATGATAGTTTTTAAAGAGATTATTTATGCACTTCTTCTAACGTGCAGCCACCTTGTACCGTCAAAACCTCTCTAAAACAGTCTCGTTTGTTCAGAATATTTTTGGATATTATAGCGAAGTGTTGTTATAGAAAACATATATTATAATAGAATATGAGATTTGGTCCCGAAAAAATTTGGCTTTTATAGAAAAGTGTTAGTTAAAAGTCTTTAATTAAAAAAAGAATAGCTTTGTCAAAGGGGAAGTCACGGTTATAAAAGCTTTGAGCGAAATTTGTTCCCTAATTTTAATATTGAATAGTAGTTATTAGTTCATGATTCAATAATTGACTATACAAAGGATCGTGTGATAGCAATAGCTATGGATCTTTCTCATATAAGGAGGTTTAGGGTTTGACTAATCTCTTTTCCTTTTCGGTTCAAAATTAAAAATGTTTGGTCAACATTGCCTTCTATATGAAGGAAGGAAACTATATTTTCCTGTGTTATGACTTATCTTATACATAGTTTTCTCTTCTCATAGACTTATCCTCTTAGTTGTTGATTTCTTTTGTTTTTACCTTTGTCTTTGTCAGGGGTAATAGGGTTGATCCAGTGAACACAATATATATATNCCGTGAACAAACACTGATTCAATGGCTGAAGCAAGCAAACAACAGCAAACCAAAGGCATCCATTTTTACTTTGAAGTAGTACTACACCACCAGACAAAAGGCACCTACTGATTCTTTTCTTGGCAATAATTATTAATAAAGCTATTATATATATGTTATATAACGACAAAATCCTCGAATTATTCACACCTTTTTCTTTCATTTTCATCGTTCAGATTGGTGCCCGTGATGTCGCTGTTTGTTAAATTTTCGTGGTTGAGCTTGTTCACTACTCCTTATTCCATTGTCTTTGTCCAGATAGCTTCGCCAACATGAGTGCAATTTGGAATAAAATAACGACCCTTTCATTTGAATTAAAGCATCCGTGAAACTATCCATGTTCAATGATTCAACGACCAAATATGTTACTCGCTCTGTCCCAACTAGGGATGTACATAGGTCAGGTTGGTTCGGATTTTATAATTATCAAATCGAACCAAATGTGTCGAATTATTAAATTTAAAGACCAAACCAAACCAATAAAACTCAGGTTTTTTACTTTCGGTTTTTCTCGGGTTTTTTTCGGAATTTTTTTTGCGGTAAAATTTTCGTAGAACAAAACATACAAAATTATGCTCAAAATATTTCTTTAGTCCTAGTAAGATACAACTATATAAAGTATTTTCCAAGAACATAATACAAAATATGAGATATGTCATGGCATTATCCTAAAATATTCAACAATAAAATTATGTAATATAAATATTGCTAATTAAAAAGCCATAATAAAAATAAACATAATCTAAGAATACTAAGTCATGCTAAAATAAGTAGACTAATACGGGAGTATTAAATACATGACTAAATGCTAAAGAAAAAATAAAAATAGGTTATGCATTTTATCTAAATTATTGCAAAACAAAAAATATATATTCAATACATTCCCGTTCGTAGTATTGAAATAAATTTATTTTGTTAGCATTAGTATTGATTTGATTTTGGTTTGGGCTTTTGTTAGCGCTATTTAATTTACTAATGTTAATGGCTGTAAAACTTATTGGAACATTCAAAAGTTCTAAGTCCAACCTTGAAATAATACCTCAAAAAATAAAATTATGAAATCCTTTAAGAAATATTTATAAATTACATCATAATAAGTATATTTATATATTAAATATATCTAAAATTTCTATATATGTAATGTCGGGTTGGTTTGGTTTCGGTTTGACTTTCTTTAGCTAAAATCAAACCAAACCAATTATGGTCGGTTTTTTTTCCCAATACCAAACCAAATCAAACCAACCCATAATCGGGTTTTTTTTCTCGGTTTGACTCGGATTATCGGGTTGGTGCGGTTTATCGGTTTCTTTTGTACACCCCTAATCCCAACTTATGTGGGGCACTTTTTCACGATAGATATGAGAAGAGTCGCCACTTATAGCATTTTTTGGATAGTATATGATTATTTTTAATTTTAAAATATTAAGTCGATTTATTCTAATTAGTATTAAAAACTAATCAGATTGACTCTCAAGAAACGGGAAGTAACATATGAAATTGGGAGGGAGGGAGGGAGTATAATTATGACGAATGTACATGTCAAAATCGTCGGAACAAAGCTTAGTGCAAGGCACATTAACAATGAAAAGTAATGACATATAATGGCTAAATCCAGACTGATAAGGAATACAAGGAATTGACGTAGATACAATGCATAGGAAGTGTTCTGAAACGTAGAGGAGGAAATTATTAACACTTGAAAAACAAAAAAGAACAAGAAGAACAGAAAGGATTAAACAAAAGATGATGAAAGTAGTAATAATAATAATAATTAACAGGGTGATCTCCACAAAGATATGTTAGGCTTATTTTTGTTACATGAATCATTTTAGAAGCATGAAAAAAAAAAAGAAGCAAGGTGAACTGACTATTCATGAAAGTGATGGATCTCACTTCTTCAATCTTGAAACTCTTCTGATCAATACCATCAACCAAAGTAATCGATAAAATACGAAGAACCCAATCAAGATATAGATATTAGTCCATCTCTGTCTTTCATGTAGTCCTCTTTGTTCCAACAGATCACGTCCACTTACCATACATACTTTGCTCTTCTCATCGTACCATACGAAACATTTCGATACAAGGCAAGAATACTCATTGATTAACAAAGCATCTAGGCCATATTTGTACATTGACAAATAATGCAACATTGTCCAGAACTTAGGCATGGTTTCTTTCGATATGAAGTAGCCGGAAAATAAGAAAGATCCGGCGAGTAGTAACGTTACGAGTGAAGTTCCGGTGATGTAATTGGGAGCAACAGAGCTCAAGAAGAGAACGAAAGAGTTGGCCATTAAAAGAATGACCCAAATTGTTAGAACAAAGTAAGTGATAGCTTGCCATGTAGCACAAAGACTAACCAAGAAATAAAGTGAAACTGAATACAAGATTGCTATAACAAGCAAGTAGGGGAGGAAAACTAATGTGTTTGCTAAAAGATATGAAGATAATCGATAAACCCCACTTGAAGTTTCTCTTAATAAAATTGGCCTTTCGTGTATGAAGATTGGGAGAGTTTCAGTTGTGGAAGAGAGAAGAAAAGTAAGAGTGAAAGCAAAAAGCCCAAATCTTTTTGCAATTCCTTCTTTACCAAATCCAATATTAATGTAAATCGTTCCTAGAACAATTCCAACTCCTAGAGCTTGTAACGTGTTTGTTAATAATAGCTGTTTTGTTCTGTAAATGATCTTCCAAAATCTGCTGTACAGAACAGCTATTTCATGAATTCTTGAACTCCTATATCTGACTTTTCCAGTTTTAGTCTCAGAAACAGTGGTGGTGGAATTTTTAGGGGATGAAGGAGGTAAACTTATTGGTGTAGAGGGTTTTTTCTGATTGAGTTGGTTGAGCATTTCCATGGCAAATTCAAGAGAATTGAGCTGTGGAGGGACAGTGAAGTCATTTTCAAGTAAAAAAGATTCAAGAGAAGACAGATTTCCATGATGTACAACAGTTCCTTTTGATAACAAGAGAATTTTATCAATGGTGGCAAGAATCTTGAAACTTGGTTGATGTATTGACAAAATCACAGTACGTTGACGTGAGTCAGTGATTGATCTGAGTGTCTGCATTACATTCAAAGCTGAATTACTATCAAGACCAGAAGTTGGTTCATCAAGAAGTAAGATTGCAGGATCATGGAGTAGACTCAAACCAATCGAAACTCGCCTTCTTTCTCCCCCCGAGAGGCCATGAGCTAGTCTTGTGTCTGCTAAATGTGTGAGCCTGAGTTCAGCTAGAAGAGAATCCACAATGCATGAAACATCAGTGAGTTTCGGGTTGAGAAGACGGGCAGAGAAGGCGAAAGTTTCAGAGACAGTGAGCTGAGGAAGGCAAGAATCATGTTGAGGGACATAAGCTGAGAGCTTACGGAAAGAAGAAAGATTATGAAGGGGGACAGAGTTTAAGAGAAGAGTGCCACTTGTAGGTGAAGTTCCAGCAGCTAAAATATCGAGTAATGTGGATTTACCTGCACCACTTGGACCAACAATGGCAAGAATCTGAGAAGGATAAGCAGTGAATGAAATGTCTTTCAAGATGTTAATTGGTGGTGCTATGTTGCAATTACAAGGCTTGAAGAAGAAAGAAGGAGAAATATTGGTGGTTGATTTTGAATAGCATATTGAAGAAGCTGTTAGTTTATAGGTTTTGGGTGGCGGAGATGGGGACGGAGATCGAGAAGAGGGTGGTGGTGGCGGAGATGATTCTTCCATGGAAAAGTTGACTAGGTAGAAGGAAGAGTATCGAGAAGTGAAGTTGAGTAGAAAAAAGAAGAGAATTGGAGGGTTAAGGGGTTAGTGTCAGACTCCCTGACACTATAGTTTTAGTAGTAGTAGTAGAATAATGTTAGGGGACGTCAAAGTGAACATGAAGAAATAATAAGCGTATGAACTGCCTAAACCGTACCATTAGCTCAAAGTGTTCTAATGGATAACATTTAACATTGTTTTTCCTCCTTGGCCCCATTTTGGGCATGGTAGTGAAGTAAACAACAACAACCCAGTAAAATTTTATCGGTGGAGAGTGAAGCAAAACACATGAGAGAATTTAAGAACCATTGAAAATAAAGAATTTAACTTTTATACGATGACAATATAAATAATTACACTATAAGATCTTCTGAATAGTAACTACGTGTAAGTAGTTATAATAAGTGAGATCTCTAATATGATAAATAAGGCAAGTAATTAACTTCTTAAAACATGTCAAATGTTACGTGGCGCCTTCCTGAGATTCCTTGGAAGTGCGACGTAAGACTAAGCAACTGATGTCAGTGTAGTTACTGTCCGCCAACTGAGGTCCCCTCCGTACGCTAGACGAGATTGTCAGTGCCGTACGGGAAAACCAATGTCAAAAGCAATTCAGAGAACAGAAAAGAGAATTGAGAATGAAAGAAAGCTCGATTGCATTAATGAAAGCTATTACAAAAAAGCAACATGGTGTCGAGGGGGAGAGACACCAGTACAGAGAATTGTTTGCTTGGTAGAAAGTTTGATTGCTTGATCCACCCTAATAATGCTTAAAAAAAAATAAACCAAAGCTACAAGACTAGACTTGACTAAGCTAGAGAAATATAATCGAAGTGTATGAAATAAAACTACTCTATATTTACAATGAAAAGGACTTAGTTTTCTACAAGGCAGACACAAGTTCGTCGTCAGGAGCATTGTCTTTGGCATCACGGTCTGCGCGCGCGGTGCTGTTGGCATCTGCATGCGGCTGGGCACTGGCGAAGGATATCGGTGGGGCGATAGAGGCACATGCTCGCTTGTCACTTGGCGCAACTGTCATACCCCATTTTAACCCGGGTCAAATTAGAGTATAACATATTAGTAATTCTCAAGGTTTAATTAATTAAGAGAGTCGCCGCCTAATTATTTTAACGGTTAATTAGGACACCAATTTTAGCTAAGTGGTGCTTAAAGTTAACTCTGTTTATGGTCTACTTAGCCTTAAGAGTATAGGTAAGGGTTCTAATTAATCCTATAGGGAAGGTTATTAAAGCACCCTACATGATTCGTTAATCACGGTTGACCAATCAAACTTAGGTTAATTCATTATAAGTAGAAAATTTAATATTTTTATACATAACACGTGACTATTTTTTATATACTAAAATATTACTAAATGAGTAAAATTGATTTTGATATGTAAAGAAACGCTATAAAAGCCATTTTTCCGAAAACCTTAATTAGACTTGAACATTGTAAGAAAGAAATAAGCTTTTATGGATAAATGCTGACAAAGAATGCTAAGTATTTTCAAAATTGATTTGGGCAAAATATTTTAGAAATAAATAAAGCCATTATCTCAAATTGTTGATTTTAAAAGCCCTTAAACTCATGTAAATAAAATCAGCGATTTATTATTAACTAGAGTAACTGCCACTAAACAAAATAAGATTTAGCTACCAAATCTAATATAAGACAAACCCCAAATAAATCGACAATCATAAAGAAACTAAACAAATGATAAGAGAAAAGAAAAATGAAAGACGCCATAGGCGTCCCCAAGCGTTTCGCTTGTTTTCTTACTATCCGGTAACTCTATAAGAACATGGGATGTGATGATTCCGTGCTCGGGTATGAAGAGTCTTGCATTAAGACTCCATGTTAGCTCCAAGTGCACATGCAAAGACAAACAAAAAAATAAGAATTAGAAGAAAATGGAATCTGATTCTTTATACTACATAAGAGATAAATAAAAAGGTAAAAATCATAATAAAACTCATCTCATAGTAGTTTATAAGATGAAACACTCCATATAATACTGTTTTTTTCAAGAAGAAATATTAGGTTTGTATTCAACAGCTCTAGCCATCAAGGTTCAATATTTAACTTAAATGGCCAAACTTTATGTCATAAAAATATTATGACTAAGTTACAATTGTGAGCACGTGATTTTTGCTTCACGAAAACTACTCCAAAAGAAATCGAAAAAGAAATAAAACAAGTTATCTTCGGGTACAATTTTGAGGATTTGTGTGACATTTTGATAACTGTTTTATCCGTAAATGCTCGCCTTGCTATAGTTAAAAGATACAAAAAAATACATGTTGCATGCATTTAGGGAAAATGGTACATTTGGGAATTAACTAACCATTATTTGGTTTTTAAAAGCGAAAGTCACAAAAATAGGCATTTTTATTTTTATTGTTGTCATGGTAATTTTATTAAATATTTTAATTCGTGTGATAACTATTGTTAGGTGTTAATTAATATTTGTGTAGTTTAAGTTTTGGTTTTTAGGAATTTTTTTGTTTAATTATAAGGAAAGTATCGGATTTGGGCCAAAAAATCCAACTAAAATCAGGCCCAAACCAATACCACAACCCAGTCCAAAACCAGGCCTTCCAGGCACGCCCCAAAACGACGCCGCATAGGACGTTTGATTTGAGCCATTCATCCATACTCATCCAACGGTCCAC